CGCGACCCCCAACCGGTCATAAGTCGAGGACTACTCAACCGGTCGTAAGTCGAGGACTACTCAACTGGTGCAGCACCGTTTGCAGAATGGGACTTTTGGCGGGCTCAGCAGGGCAGAGACAGCCTGGACAATTCCTATTGGCTTTTGAAAGCCAATAGAATTAGACTCTATTCAAGAGAGTCTATTCTATTGGCTTTCAAAAGCCAATAGAATAAAAGGGCTAAGGAAAGGGGAAAAAAATGGCAGACTGCATTGTTTGGCGACCCCTGTGAAATGGGGTCCCGACCCACAGGTTGAGAACCACTGCTCTAAAGAGAATATCCTCTGCCTTAAAGTTGTCTTGTTGGGCTTTTGCTCAAGATCGTTAGAGGCCAACCTCTGTACTTTCTTTGCTACAGGCCTACCTGAGTCTTTTTATGGAACCTGTGAGGTTTGATAAGCTGTCACCTAATTGATGAAGTCTAATAGCATCTAGCAAGCTGTAACAGAAAGGTTACATCATCTGAAGCTTAACTAAGTAAAATCTCTTTGCTTAAGATATGGTTAGGAGAGAACAAATGTAAACAGAAATGATGCAGACAAGGCTTGCAGGAAAAATTCTAACTACTGGCTAAACTAAGCAGACGTGATATTGGTACTTTCAGTTGCTCTCTATCCCGATTCCTACAGGATCTTTGGTACTTAATAGAGATCTTTCAAATGCAGGTTTTCTGTTCCCCCCAAATCCTAAATGGGGAATACAATTTAACTCTTGCCTTGCAGCCTTATGATTATTCCATCTCTGTTGTTTCAACTCCAGAGTCAATCACCTTCCAGGTCTTGTCTCAGTTGATTGACATGGGATCCCGGTGCATATGACCTGTGATAACCTAGGCTATAGTTCACTCAAGAGTGAGCCTGTAGCTGAGTCTTACTGAAGATCAGCCTTTTGTTATCACTGCCAGCTACCGTATTTAGAGTTTAATTTTTGCTCCTACAGTTATGCTTTTATCAATTTTTAAAGGCAGTAACCTTAAAGGGCCTTTCTCTATTTTTTTCTTTTTGTCCTCTCCTTTCTTCAACTATTGCCATCTTGCCTCAGAAAATGATCCAATTCACTCCACTTGTAACTTTCACACTGACAGGAAATTATTACACATCATTACACTTCGTAAAACACAATTTACCCAGCCTTCTCAAATTATTCTCCAGAAAATGTGAGGGGGTAATAGAAACTGTCCATTCTATTTACATTTGTCAGTCACTCAGACTTTTTTCTCCACAGTGATACATTTATACTCCTACCTTTTCTGCAATTCAGAAAGTGTACCTTTTAGAAGTGCAAAGTAGCATTGTTGAAGAAAGAAAGAAAGAAAGAAAGAAAGAAAGAAAAAATGCCCATGAAAAATAATCCAAATTCTTAGATTTGATCAGAATAGCTTCATTATATTTCATTTTGCATTTTAACATCTTTTAAAATCTACAGTTGGATCTTTGTGTTGTTCTTCTTTGACATTCATTTCCATATTTATTCTGTTAACATACTTTTCATTGTCATACACAAACACCTACACACAATAACAACAGCATTCCAGTATTTAAGTTCGGAACTGGGTTCACTGATATAAGGACATTTCACCAAAGTATCTCTAACAATGTGTATGGCATTGTAGTTGTAGTGAGCAAACATCTCTACAAGCTAGTTGGACACAATTCATGTACGTGACTAGTGGACTATTCTTTGTTCTGCTGAAACCTTTTTTTTTCAGGAATCCTTGGTGCTCTCAGAGCTTGGTTGTTTTCTTGCAGATGTTTCATTAAGTAAGTTCATTAAGGTAATGAAAACAACCAAGGTCAAAGAACACCAAGGACCCCTCATTTCAATCCTGAGCTACAAATATTCTCCTCTATTGGTACCCTTTTCTCTGATGTAAAAAAGGTTGCTACGGTCTTTAAAAAAAACCACTTCTGTGTTGTGAAAAACATATAAACCTTCTGTGGTACTTCTTTTAAAGTTGCTGAGCCAGTGACTAAAAGCTCTTGAGTACACTGAGGCTAGAAATCTTAAAGCTTATGGGCACAGAGGTGCTGCAGTCTGATTCTGTGTTTTTCTCATTACTACAATGCCACTTCTTGTTGCGTTTACTAACAAAAACACTAGTGTCTTGACAATCTGCTGCTTTCCAGCAAATTTACATTTATGTCATGGTTTAATTTGATGCCTCATTTATGATTATGGTATATTCAGGGTAACATTATTTTAACCTGACTTTCAGTTTGCAGATAGATATATGGATGTTTATTTAGTAACAGCAAGTGTTGCCATCTGGAAGGAAAAGGAACGAAACAAATTTCTACTATATTCTGGCACTGGAGCAGAATAATCCATACTCTAAAACCGCAGTTCCATAATGTCAAGTGTTTGCTTCTGTCTACCTGATCTAAATCCTAGCAAAATCTGCTCTAATTCATAACATTTATTCTCTAAATGTTTGCTCTCTAATCTAATTATTCTAAAATAAATACAGTCTAAAGCAGAAAGCCACCAAATAAATGGTCGATGACACTTTATGGAGTAAATGAACATTTATGGGAATAAGTGGTCATTTATTCCAAAGTATAAGCATCTTTAAAAAAAAAAACAAGAGCAGGGGAGAAATAAAAAGAGCTATGTCTACCTTTTAACCATTAGCTTTGTGATATTGTTTGGCTTTCCTGTGCTCTTCTGTCAAATTCATTTTGCCTCAATGGGAGAGGGATGATGAATTGGTCACCTCTTGGAGGTGGAGAGAGGAGATGCTAAATCTAGGTCTGGGAATTGGCTAAGTACTTCAGCGGAGCTTCAAGCTCTTAATCGCTCTCAGCAAGTTGGCTTTCTTGATTTATAAATGGGGGCGGTGATTAATGATCTTTTAAGTGGACAAGGCAGGTCCAAAGCTTCACAAATCGGGCCACTCAAACATGACAACCACTTGTAAGAGAATAACAGCTTTTTCTTGAGTCATAGGGTCTGTCCTGTGTGTATGTGTATTCTTCGTTAATATGGGTGAGCATCATTATGGGATGACAGGTTTTATATCTTGGCTCTATCAAAGGTCAAATCCAGCAATTGCCCAGGCAAAGGTCTGTGCCTCATCTAGGAACATTTAGAGCCATGCTTTCAAACTTGACAACTTTAAATGCATGGACCTCAACATGCAGAATTCCCAGCCAGAGCACTAATTTAGAGGGAGGTTGTATCAGGAAAAAAATTATAGATAATCAAGTGGTTTACATGGCACAAGAAAACAATGGCACTAAATGTTCCCTGTTTCTTCTCAGTGGGAAAACTGCTCCATTTCAAGATGCAATGGTTCCAAAAAATACATTTTGGTTTTGTTAGGAATATCTGAACCCCCAGGAGGGATGGGGGAGAAAAAGCATCTTGGAAGGGACCCTCTCTAGTTTTCAGAAGGATAAAAGTAAGGGAGGAGAGAAATATCCCTCTGACTGGATGGTGCGGAAATGGAAGGATTTATATTCCTTGCAGACAGCTGGTCATTTGCTTTCTTTTAGAGAGTTGTTGGGGCCACTTGGAGGTTTGTATATGTCCTCAGAGTCACCTGAGTAGTGTGTGGAGCCTTTCTGGACCTGCTGAAAGGACTGTTTCAGGATTCCAAGAAGGCTCCACACCCATTTGCACTACTGAGCTGAAGAAGCTCTGGAGCTCCTGGAACTGCTGAAAGGACTGTTTCAAGATTCCAAGAAGGCTTCACACCCATTTGCACTACTCAGGTGAACCTGAGTAGGTGTGGAGCCTTCCTGGAACTGCTGAAAGGACTGTTTCAAGATTCCAAGAAGGCTTCACACCCATTTGCACTGCTGAGCTGAAGAAGCTCTGGAGCTCCTGGAACTGCTGAAAGGACTGTTTCAAGATTCCAAGAAGGCTTCACACCCATTTGCACTACTCAGGTGAACCTGAGGACACAGACAAACCAGCTGTCTTCAAGGAATATAAACCCTTCCATTCCCCACCATCTAGTCAGAGCTGAAGAAGCTTCTTGGATGAGAAGCAAAATGTCTTCAGAGAAAAACAAGAAAGTCCAGTTGCCTCTTAAAAAAGCACTGTTGGGACAACCCTGACCTGGATGACTGAGAATCTCCATAGACATTTAGCAAGGAGAGAGAAAATTTCAGACGTGCAAAATGTTGTTCCTGTAACCTTGTAATAAAACTGGTGTTACTACTCATGGCTTGTGCTCTTTATGGTTAGCACTTCTTGTCTGGACTACAGACAAGAGCAGATGTCCTATACAAGGACCATCCCTGCATTACCTCTTTCAAAAGGAACTTGTAATTCAGATCCGCTCAGTGTTCTGAGAGGACAGAAAGTCAAAGGTCCTACAGTTTGCAGAGAAAGAGCTTCACTTTTTGAAGTGTTTCTTTATATTTATCCCTTATAATTTTAGCCATCTTATTGCATGTTAGCCTAACTGTGAGGCTACATGAGAATGCTGGTCTTGATCTTCTTCTGAATTCTTTGTGGCTTGATATTGATAAGCATGAGCTTGGTTATAATATAGTCGTTATACCTTGCTTCAGGTTGCAGAATAAACTTCACGAATGGGCTTTCAAAGCAACGATACCTCCTTTAATGGGGGCCTTTCAAGAAAAAGCATTCTGTGAATTTAATAATTTATAGCGCCGATGTTATTTCTTTTTAAGATAAGAACTATGACCGATTACTAGCAATGTAAGGAATTGAGCAAGGACACTTGATTGAAAAAAAACTAACTTCTGCTAAGAGAGGGGAAAACCGCTCTCTCTGGAGGCAAATTCCAAGGGGGTTTCAATTTGAATTCAGTTCATTGGAGAAGAATGGTGTATGTGAATACTGAAGAATGGTGGACTTATTTTCTAGAACTCTGTTATACAAAATTAATCTTTTTGTTGTGCTGTTTGGTAATATCTTTTGCAGAAGTATTTCCCTCTCTCTTCTCCTTGCCCATGCTAACAGAAGATTTTGATAATATCTTTTCCAGGAACTTTGCTGGTAGAAAAGAAGTGCAGCAGAAGCAATGAATTACAGCATCTGTATACATTAGTGCTCTCTGGATGACATAAAATCTTTCTTTCATAAAATGCTGTAGCCCTGGGCTTAAAATAAACCTGATTTCAATTGGAATTTATTCTGAGAAGGACAAAAAGGAGGATTAAAAAAAAACATCATTTGGGCTGAAGACAAACTTAATGGACCAGTGAAGATGCTACCTGCAGAATGTAAGTATGCAGATCATCTCTGGTTAAATGAGGTTGATGGGATTTTGATAGATAACCAATCCCCCCCTCCTAAAATTATCTGTGCTTCCCTTAAAATTGCAACACTTGTTCCTGGATTTAGATTTGTTTGATTGTTTGGGTATAGACATACACATGGGTCAAATGCATTTAACTTTTATGAATGAAATGCTCAGAATACCAGAAAATCTTCATCTAATAAATGCAGCTCTTTCAAGCTGTATCAGTTGCAATGGGCCAAAGATATTACAAATACACAGTGCCCCCTAGCAGACATAGCATGGATATCCAACTTTTCTGGCCCAAAGCCCATACTCGACTCTTCATAATTTGCCAGTACCCATATTTCCCAGAATGACCATGTGCAGGACAGAAGAGTGAACCAGGGTAAAGCTCAATTTAATTTAATTTAAATAGACATTCCGCCCTCATTCATAATTATATTAAAATATATAATAAATTATAGTTTGAGAGCAACTACTGGATGCAGTCTATGTGCACATTTTGGAAAGTGAGGAAGAGGTATTGTGTCCTCCTGGGGCCTTTATAGTGTTTGTTCAACTTCCTTATATAAAGCCCTCATTGTGAATGAATAAGTAAAACTTTAACATCATCCCTCTTCTCTTTCTTCTTCTGTTCCATTTTTTCAAAGGCTGTTGCTTTAGAACAGGGGTAGGCAACCTTGGCTCTTTTATGACTCGTGGACTTCAACTCCCAGAATTCCTGAGCATGGAATTCTGAGCTCAGGAATTCTGGGAGTTGAAGTCCACGAGTCATAAAAGAGCCAAGGTTGCCTACCCCTGCTTTAGAACTTTATCTAGAAAAGAAGGACAAAACTTACAATTTTCACAGTTTCCTTGTGGTAGCTATAAGAGACAGGTCATAATAACAAAAAGAAAACAAAAGAAACCCAAAAACATTTTTTATCTTATTCTATATGTATTTCTTATTAAACAAATTTTACACGAATACAAACAATCCAAATTCTTAAAAAAAAAAAAAAGTAAGGAAAATAAACAAAAGTGACAAGTATGTGTTTAGCTCCGTGTTTAGCTCTGTAGAAGAAACAGAATAATAATAGTCCATTGACAGTGCAGTGCAGGGAGAAAAGTTGATTTAAACTGTATGCAAGATCCACAGGTGTACCTCTTAACAAACAATTAGAATAACTTATGTGCAGATATTCTTGGAAGTGCCAGGATATTTATTCTACTGATGAGACATGCAAGCTCAGGTTTTAATTCATAGGAGGCTAAAAATATAGCCACAGCTTAAATATCTATTTTCTCATTGAGTTTAATGAAGCTTACTCCTTGGTAAACATGCATTGGATTGGAGTTAAGTGGCACAACATGTTTAATGAAATGGAAGTGTTTTGAGAGGGGGTTGGGTATGGTGGTTATGTTGGTGGGTATAGGATGATAGTCTAATGTAAGGCAATGCCTTCTGTAATATAGCTTCAATTACACAAAAAATATTTTATATCTAGTTCATAGTTGCCTCTTCTTGTGAATTGAAAGAATTCACCGGAATCATGTTTACAAAGTATAAAACAAACTTTTAAAATGTACTATGCAAAAATTAGGAAAAACAATGTAAAATACGTTAGACCTTCACAGCTGTTCTCTCTCAATCAGATGCTTTCTTATTCACACACAAGTGCACATTATTCAGAAGTCCCGTTAGAATTCTGAAATCTGAAAAAGTACAAATAGCATTAAGCAGATGTAATTTCCTTTGACTAATTATCGGATAAGATCATCAAGAACCATCTCACACTTTGGGTTACTGATCAGAGAAAGACTTTATTAAATCTGAAGAAGTAAAATAAAAAATTTCAAGTGTCTTTATCAATACTCAACAAGGCTGTGACAAATTAGCTTACTACTGAAAAACAAGTGGTAGTGATGAGACACTTCTGAAACTACAACTAAAAAGGAAATCTCAGTGATTTCCGGTCTTTGGGTTTAGTACTGGTACGTTTTCCCACTTGCATGTGATGGTACAATAGCTTTCAAGTACTCTCTCACAATTTCTGATTTAGATCGGTCAGTCCAAGAATTGTTAGTAGACTTTCTCTGTATGGAACTAGATATCTAATCTATATTTCTAGCCTGTTTGGCCCTTAGTTTTCCTAAACTATCTTCATTATAGTTAAAATAAACATTTTTTTCCAAAGCATGGCACAAATTGTCTATTGTTTAGGATTTTGAGCTGAATGTCAGTTCTTTTATCTAAGGACAAAGTTAGGAAGTGGCATTAAGTGCTCTGTGTAAGATGATTTATTTTTAAGTTTAAGATAACCCATACTATCAGTCCTTGTGCACATTATTTTGATATCACTTTATTTAGTTCTCTCAGAAATATATTGAGCTGTACATGCCAAACTACTCAACTGTGTCTCATTTTCTGTTTCACAGTACTCAGTTCTTTGGAGAGAATAACTTATACTCGTTGCTTTTCATTTTATTCTGCTTTTTTAACTCAGATCTGCAGCAGGCACAAAATGATTTCTAAAAACTAGTACAATGGTACAACAAAAGTTTATTTTGCTATGAGTTGTTTCATTTCCAACCAGTTGCAATATTGATTTCTCTCTGTAGTTTAATTATTGAAGTCAGTTTCAGTCTTCCCTGCAATGGGTAGAAGGAAAAATGATGTTTTCATTTAAAGGAAGTCTATTGACAATGGTGCACTGTCTTCCCTTGGGTTGCAAAATCAATGAAATTGGAAAATCGGTGTCGTAAAAGTAATGTGCATGAAATTATTAATGTTTTCATAGGCATAAGTAAACTGTGCTTGTTTACAGCAGTTCAGGATTTGTTACAAATCATTTCAACCTGATTACTTGCTGATGCTGATACTGTAAGTTGCTAAAACAGAAATAAACATGAGTGTCTGAATTGTTTATAATGGTAGCTGTAATGGAAAAAGGAGAAAACCTTGCTAAGACTACCTATCTGGCTTGCTAAGGACTCTGGGAACATTCTCTTCCCTTTCTTCCTTCACTAGACAATTGCTAAAAAAGACAAAAAGTCGTAAACTTGAGTCTTGGGGAGATATTCTTCTAGGTTATGGCAGATCCTCAGGGCTTTGGTCACCACTTTCTTTATTCACTGGAATTTCACCATGTGAAAGAACTTATAAGCAGCAGGAGTACTTGTGAGCATAGAAAGCATACGGATGTGTTACATCTCCCCTGATGTATCAGTGACTATGGATCTGGCTGGTTGCACTATTTAAATTAACCTCCTTTATGCTGAATCAGATCACTGGTTCATGTAACATGACACTGCATTGACTTTCCAGAATTATAGATAGGAGAGGCCAGGGATTGGCTCTACATTTTTCCTACATTTTCTCTGTTATTGCTGCAATGGCCATCTGCTGGACTGTAATACTGTTGATATGGTCAAGAAGGGAAATATCTAATGACCAGTAGAACATGCACATCTTATGGCATGTAAGAACACTCCTCAGGGTTTACTTAGTGTGGGACTAGAACAACTTGCCATGGCTAACTCATTACAGGAAAACTAATTGCACGGCAATTCAACACTGTATCAATGATTTCATTCAGTTACTTTTATCACTAGTGACCAAGTTTTCATCAAAATTACTGCAACTCTTGTATTTCTGTATTGAATTTCTTTATTTTATTATTATTGGCCAAGGTTCTGTCAATATTAATTTAACTTTTGTATTTGTTGAATTTTCCCGTGGCTAATTGTCCCACAGCAAGTTGGCTGTGGTGAATTGTCCCATTCTGCTCAGTGCCATATACAGTATTTGTAATGGTATCGGTATCAGTATTGGTATTGGTGTCAGTATCCATATCTCTATCCATATCTGTATCTGTATTTGGATCTGGATCTTATCATTCTTCCAAAGAATTCTAGTTTGTGCACCTAGCAATTTACATTTATCCTTATAGCAACCACATCAAGTAATTTAGTCCAAACGACTGTGCTAAGATCACCCACTCATGATTATCATGAATTTCTGGCCTAAATTTTCTGTTTATTAGTTTTTTGGACAAGACCTGTAATCCGAGTTGGAGCTAAACTTAGATTATCTACCCAATGGCCATGTTTGCAGTAACATACTGTTTCCTCTTGAATCCATGCATGTTGATTTGTAGTCTAATCATACAATGAACACATTGATATTTGTTTCTGTATGTCTGTTTTCCTAGTTAAATCAGGCATACAGAGATATGAAATAAATAATTTGGGTAACCTTTTGGGAAGAAAAGTGGGCCACAAGAAATATTTAACCTCTCTTCTATCTTCATCAGTTTAACACACAATCAGGTTTCTGCAGGAGAAATACATTTCATGCCAAATAAATATCCTGCTTTTTCGTAAGAGAGGAACGCTTCCTTTATAATTCCATGTTGCTGTCAGGTGAATTTTTAGAGCTCTTTAAAACACCATCAGACAATTTGTCCATCATCCTCTTAACCGTTTGATCTGTTGAGATGGTTGCAGTGCTTACTAAAATCATTTAAAAGTGTCTTTGAGTCTGGAATCCCTTTGTTCTCTGAATTAAAAATAGCAGGAATAATCCTACTTGATTTGCAAGATTCTTGTTGAGTAGCTTATAATTGTTGAACCAACAGTGACTCAGAGCACTCTCTAAAGGGATTGGTGCCATTTGTCATATTCTAGCCAACATATACGTAACAAATCCAATAAAGGTGGACAGTCTGTCTTGTCATTTGAAATTCAGATGAATGGCTGACTTTCTTAGATGTGCAAATGTGATTTCCCCAATTTAAAAAAGTGGGATGGGGATTAGTTGAAATGCTTTTTTTAAAAAAAATATTTCAAATAGATAGGCAGTAGCAGGGGAAAAAACAAAGAGCCAGCCTAAGTTTTATGGCGAATGGAAGTAAGATAGGTTTTGTTTAACATGGGAACAGCATATTGGGAGTGAGATGGAGTGGAGTGGGATGGCTGGAAGCCATTTAAGGCAATGGATCGTGAATTTTTCAGAAGCAGCTTCATTGTATGAAATATTATTTAAACCTTCAATAATGTATATGCACGTACAACCTTGACAGTTCCAGAACCATGTGATTCCTCTACTCTGTAAGCTACATTGGCTTCAAATAAGCTTCCAGGTATGATTCAAAGAGCTGTGATGATGCAGTGGTTAGAATGCAGTATTGCAGGCTAATTCAGTTTACTGCCAGGAGTTCGATCCTCGCTGGCTCAAGAATGACTCAGCCTTCTATGCTTCCGAGGTCAGTAAAATGAGGACCCAGATTGTTGAGGGCAATATGCTGACTCTGTAAATTGCTTAGAGAGTGCTGTAAATCATTGTGAAGTGGTATATAAGTCCAAGTGCTATTGCTATTGCTATTTCTAGTTACCCCTTTTAAAGCCCTACATGATATTGGGCCAGGTTACTTGCAAGACTGCCTTGTCCCAAAGAGGTTTACCCATTCCATACATTGCCATAGGGAGGGAATGCTTCAGGTTTCCTCATTTAAACATTGCCATTCTATGGGACCTAGGAGGAATGTCTTTCTGGTGGCCACTTCTTTTGCCTAGCATGATCTTGCCCCAATATACATCAGACCCTCCCTAACTCTGCTTGCTAGGTTCAGTTGAGTGGTGGCCCCCTTTGGGTTTTATTTAACCCATTTGGTCCAGCATTTTACATATTGCCTTTTTAAATGACATATGGTTATATTTTTTGTCAGTGTTTACATTTGTGAGCTGTATGTTGCCCAGAGTTACATTGGTTCAGTTGGGCGGTTTTATAAATGAGTGAAATAATTAAATGAAAGATATTGGCATCACTACAAGCCAGATGTCATGTTAATGGAACTTTCCAACCTGATGGTCGACATATAGCAATAGGAATGCATGATGGCAATGTATAGACATAGAGGATGTCTTTTATGGGGGAAGTCAAGGTTTGTCCCCACCCCTGAGATTTCTGAACAGCATTCTGTTTCCTATTAGTACCCCCATTTTAAACAAGCTTTCTCTGCAGGGTATCTGTTGATTTTGTTGGAATTAGCTTTCTAAGTAGCAGGTGTAAAAATGTGGCCTTATTTTAATTTCTAGTCTATAATTTGTGTATGCAAAAAGTGTCTTTCTTTCAAGTAACCTAGTGGTCTTCTAACAGGTGAGTTGGGATGGGATTTAGTTTGCACTCCTTTGCACCCAAACGTCTAAAGGATATTTGTCTGTGTTTTCTTTTTCTCTTTAATATGAATACTGAAAAGTGTTCCGCAAAGAAAAGTCAGTGTTTTCTGTGGATAGGAGTTACCAATAAGTGAGGTGGCTCTTGGAGACTGTTAGTTTTGCTTTCTATTGTGCTGAAACGTTTTTGATTCCACAGACAGTTTAGGATATTTCAAACAAAAATGTAGCAGCCTTCTGTGAGATAATATTCCAGGAAGCATATTTTCCAAAATGTAATGCCTATCATGTGGATTTTTGAAGGGCGTTTTTAATATTCTAATATATCTACTGTATATTTTTTTAAAAAAATAGCTTCATCAGGTAATTTTTTCATAGCTGTTTTGGAAATCTTAATTGTTTAGCTTAGCTTTTCTTCTACTGTTCATGTTCATTTCAGTGCATAGAGTTTCTTCGTATGAATTCCATACAGAAAGTCAAAAGATAACAATATATTTTAATTGATGAGAATATTATAAAAAAATATAACCCTGGTTGATGGATTCCAGTTAGGAATCAATCACTGTCTCTTAATTCGCTAATGAATCCAATGATAGAAGAAATGAAACATCACTAAAATCACCCACATAGGACATCCCAATTGATGAGAAGCCTTTTGATTTATTATACAACAGATAAGATCGGCATGATACAGCATCCTGATGGTTTATGAGCCTATGAAAATCCTTGTAATGAAGGTTATTCTCAAACTCATAAAATTTCATATTCTGGTGTGTACTCTATCATCAGCCGGTAATGTGAGACTCAGATTTATAAATGTATTAATTATAAACAGAATTTGCTGGGCTATCCAAGATGAAACATGCCATACCTGAAAGCTAAGGAAACCCAGCCCCAACAACCACAATTCAGTTCTTATGCAGTAATAGTTATTTTATGTTCAGTTATTTTACGAATGGTGTAATTTGAGAATAGGAAAAAAGTGCATCAAAATCAAGTTGCATATCACTTGGTAATTTCTGTAAATCAGCAAAAATAATAAACAGGTGTCTTAACATCCAAATTTGAAAGTCCAATTTGCGATAATTCAGGTGTAGATATGGATTTGTATACCTATGGTGCCCACTTAATGGCCACTCTTTCAGTGACTAAACTTACAACACAGGTATACTCTATGCTCAATGTAAAAAGAAGAACTTTAATCCAGACTTTCATTCTTTTCTGTTTTCTGATTTTCCAAAGTGGGAAGGATATTTCTGAAACATTATAGCTTTCCTAGTTTTAGAAGCAAGAACTAAAGGCAGTCATACTGTATATCATTTCCCATCCTTTCAGAGCTAGCTTGTTTTGGGAGGAGAGATAAATCCATAGTACAGTCAGTAGTGCATACCCCTTTTGGTTTCTTTAGGCTGGTATAGCATTGCCTTCTCCCCTCTGATCTTCTTCAGGCTGATCCTTCATTCAAAGTTAGAGATTCATCTAAATAGCAGGTAACCAGAAATAGTGGTTGGAAGGGAGAGGCTGGGAAACAAAGCACCATCTCTTTCTCTTTCTGCTGGTCCATGGAACAACCTTTCTTGAGCTTGTAATTATGGCAGAGGCTCTTTTGGAAGATGGGTTTTGTGTTCTTCTAATATGGTTTCCTGGAACAGTGCTAAACCCCATGTCCAAAAGGAGATGATACTCAGGTTGTCTTTCAACAGACCCAAATGAAACATTTTTCACCCAACATTTGCAAGTTTTGATAGGAGGCTAAATCTACCATTCTAACCTTTTTATGGAAACTCATGTTCTCTCTAGGTCAGCCTAGACTCACTTTAAGGATTTGGATGATTAGGTTTGTTGGGAGGCAAGGAAAACAAAGACCAGGAATCCTGTAAATAAGTATACAGGGCACATTAAGCATTGAACTCATAGTAGGATAGAGATTGCCAGTGGGGTCAGAAAGTTTTATGCTGGCATAGTTTTCTGTTGGTCAAAGGCTCACGTACTTTAACTCAGCCATGAAGAAAAACCCTCAGATTGTAAGAAGTATTTTCAATGCCAGTCCATAATTAATATTAGCCAGTCAGAGAATCACAAGAAACAAAACAAAAACAATTAAATTAATACTTTTTCATACTTTCAAAATTATCTACAAAAATCTAAGAAGAAAAACAGTAGGTTAAAATTTCTTTTAACCCTAAGGAAGATTTTCACAAAGCAGTCTAGGCATGTTGGATTGTGCAATTTCTACTTGTTCTTTTCAATGGATCTTGAAATAATAATACCTTTCTCTGAATTGTCCCTTAAAAATATATATATACACACAAACACACACACACACACATATATGCCAGGGTTAAATAAATGTTAGAATTTCAGACATAAGACTGGAGGAATAGATGTCAGGATTAATTATGCCCTTTAGAGCTTCTCTATATGTTGCCCATCTTCAGAGAATAAATTTCACAGGAAGAGAAAAAACACCTTCTCTGAGCAAAGGAGAATGGATGTATTGGAACCCTTACAGAAATGATGAGCTACATGAAAATCCCATCTGATGTTTAGATTGATTAGTTATTCAATATTTCTCTGTGCCAGTGTGCATGAACCTCAGGCTTCTTCCCCCTTTTCCATCGGAGAATAGGAAGAGGTTTCATATTGTAACAGACAAGGCATTGTCAATTAAGTATCACCTTCAATTTCCTTGTTTATGATTCTGTGGCTACTAAGCATCAATAATTTCTGTCCTCCAGGTGTCACAAGGAAGATTGATTGTGCATGTCATCCTTGATATGAAGACATTTAAATGAAACCACAGCCTTCTCCCTGCATCAGCCTGGCTTTCTGCAAAGCAAAAGTGCCACTTGAAGAGGCCATTTCTTTAAATGTTTTCCTCTTCTATGAAGAGGTAATCTTTTTGTTTTGGGACTGGAGGAGGAGAAGGAAGGGTTGGTGGGCAGGAGGTGGTGGTGGGCACTTGGGATGCTAAGAGAAAGCATCTTGAGCATTGGTCTGCTATTGGTGTTTCAACCTCAGACATCACTATTTAGGTTGCAGTTCTGAATCCCCTTGTAGAACTATTGTAAAGAATACTCTATAGGTAACCTTCACTTAATGACGGTAACTAGGACCAGTAACTATGTTGCTAAGTGACATGACTGTGCAATTTATACCGGCAATTGCAGCAGTTCCAGTTGCTATTGTTAAGTGAATCTCATGCGATTGTTACAGTAAGTATGATGTCGTGTGATTGCCATTTGCAATCCTCCTTCTGGATTTCCCATTGCCCTTGCTTGCTGAAAGCTGGAAGAGAAGGTTGCAAGTGGTGATCATATGACCACATTTGTGGCAGTGCATTTCATGGATGATATTTATTATTCACCAATAATGTTCCATCTACTGGGAGGCACATAGTGATTGATGGTCCTAGATGAGTCAATGTGGCTACAAATGTCTATTTGGTGGTACAGTGGTAAAATAAGTAGAGGCATTGCAGCACAGGACACATCAGCACAGGGCACATCAATCATGATCAATATTCTTGTTGGAAAATGAAGAAGTTTTGGGTATTACACATGTGGGGCATCACTATCTTCACTTTGTCCTAGCATTACCCCTAATTCAAGATCTCTTTTCTACTGATGTTGAAAGAAAGCAAAAATGAAATATTTAAACCTAAACAGCAGCTGTAATAGCTGCAAACTTTCAAAGCATTCAAGTATATGCCTAGGTCAGTCAAATAAATGATTAAAAAAGAAAGAAAAAAAAGAAAAAAAGAAAAAAAGAAAAAAAGATGAAGGAAGAGCTTCCCAAGAAGTAGAGATCTCTAGCAGCAATTATATTCCATCAGTTTTTGATGAAATCAGGCAGCTCTTCAAATAATTTTGTGCCACACTGTTTAGAATCTGAAAGACAAAATCAATAGTACTTTATTAACTGAGATGTAAAAGAAATAGGGGTTCATTTTATCTCCCATCAGCATCACTGCATTCTGTGGATTCTATCTAGAATTGGTTGAATGTCTCTGTCCTAATATGTTCATTTTTCCATCAAAATATTTCCATCTTCTTATAAGGGGACGTTAGTAACTGATGTCTTGACCTGTAACTCAGCAACTTGTAGAGAACTATAGGTACCCCTCCTCTTGGGAGATTAATACTCAAAAATTTCTGTGCATCTGATTTTGGCCTCCTACTCTTTATTGGCAATGCACATACGGTGCCATCTTTTAATTCTGAGCAGATGAAGCACTTCCGGGTGATGGCACTTCAGTATCATGAATATGACAAACTTGTGTAGCAAACCTAATAACAATGAGGGATGCTCCAGCATCTTCCTAGATGCATCTGGATAGATGACATTGGCACTGGAATGCTGCCCTAGATGCCAAAATTATGTCTGGTTCTCATGTGTTATCAACCCTGGCTAGTAATAGCTCTTGCTAGAGCCATGCTTCATCTTGTTCCTCTTTTTTTTTTTTTTTGAAAAGTCATCTCAGAGAGTGACTTTGTCATTATGCATTGTACTAATATATTCTATCACTTAATTACATTCTGTAAAATATTAACTTTTGTCCCTTGGCCTTGCTTCTAATCAATTTAATCGGGAGTTCAAATTCTTTTATTATGAAGGAGGAAAGGAATAGTTTTCTACAATATTTATCATTTTTATAAACTTAGCTTATATCTCTCCTTCAGTCCCCCCCCCCTTTGCTTCCATCTCCACCCCTGGCCTGAAGCTTTCACTGTAAGGAAATTGATCCAGTTCAATTCAACCTGCACTTTCTTTTTGGAGGAGAGATATTCTCCTCTACCTTACTCCACCCCGTCCCAGTCAATATTCTCTATTTCTCTTCCTTGCACCTCCTGAACCATCTCCCTTTTTGCGTCTCACCCACCTCCAGCAGCATAAAGGTCATCTTGGTTTTATTCAGCAAATGAATGCCTCTCGGTACAATGTAATCCCAAATCTCGAATTCTGACCCGGTTGTTCCATAAGCGCCAGGGCCTCCCTTTTTTTTCAGACCTGGATTCCTCTGACTCCTAACTCCTTTGACACGCTTCACTAGAGCTAATAGCTTCCTATTACCAGTTACAATTTAGCATCTGAGCCAGGAGCTGGAAGAAGAAGGGCGGGAGGGGGGGGGAGGAGAGTGTAAATTATACGGCATTGCAGTGAACAAAGGTTTTATTTCTCCTGAGCACAACTCTTTGATAGGAAAACGGGGGAGACAAATGTGTTGCTAATTTAATTAAGTAGTATGAGATTGCAGGGTCTGCAGATGCCATTTAGGGCTGGATTAATCAAGAGCAGGTGATGAAAATGAATAGTCACACATAATGTTAGCATTTTTAACAATCCGACACAGTCTAATGGAATCAAGTGCCAGTTAACAACAGGGCTCAGTTTTGCTTGCTAATCCAAATTTATCTCCACTTTCGCTCTTCACATCCATGCAAATCAATAACTCAGTACTGTTACTGCTATAGGAATACCTCTATCTGGGACAGACGGAGCTATTTTTAGAATTTGCGCCTCCGGGTTCCGTGCACTCCCCCTCTATCTTAGGCAGTTTAAAAAAAACACAAAGTCATTAATAGGAAATAAATTCCATAAACAGCAAATCTCAGTAGGTCAAGAAGGAAAGGAGGCCCTTTGGTTGAAGACAAATGTTCAGCTGAAAAGAACCTTATTTACATTTGCTTTCAATAACATTTAGGGCCTTTTTACAGCACAAGGATAAAGCAAAGCTTTAATATCTGGCTAGATATGTGTATTTTGAGTGAATCAGAATTCTTCCATATTAGCCATTTGTTTCATATTATCTCCATTCTTGAACCTATCATTCCTGAGACAAGGCTAATCATAAACCATTGCCTTCCATTTTTTTTTACTTGCTGCACCCTGTTCTTTCATTCTGATTTAGCATAACTTCCAAACTTCTGCAGTGAAGCACAGTTCTTTGGGGAGCAATGTAGATTGTTCTTCCACTGCTGAGTCCAGAATGGGACAACTCGCCACAGTCAACTCACCATGGCCAACGTGCCAGGGTCAACTTGCCACAGCCAATTTGCCACAGGACCAACTCGGTGTGGGACAATTCAACAATTCAATATAATTATTTAACATAGTTAAAATTATTTTAATTTTTGTCATTCACATTTCATTTTGACTCTCCTTTGGCACTGTTTCTTTAATGATTCTAATGTTTCTTCAACATTAGTATAACTCTTGTTCTGTGGCAAGTTTTCCCTTGGTGAATTGGCCATGGTGAGTTGGCCATGGCAAGTTGGCTGTGGCGAGTTGTCATAGACCCTGCAGAGTCATCCAATTGGTGGAAAATCCTACTTTTGCTTGTTCTGAATCTGACCTCTCTAGCCTAATCTCTATCAGTTTCAAAAGGGATGTTTGTCAGTTCCACCACTATTGTCTTTTGGACAGAATTATTTTGCACTCCAGTCTACAAATGATCATGAAGAAAATTATCACTTCTTCAAGTAATGGTAAATGCCAATGGATGCTATAGGAAAGACTACTGGTGATGGCTGGAGAAGTCTTCCATTCCTTCTGTTTTTTTCTCTATGCATAGATGTAGCTAATACACAGTTGCCACTGAAGAGCGCTAAGACTTAGTAAGGAACTCAAAAAGCTTGCTGGCAATTGTTATTTTCCTCAAAGCATCCATGGTTCTGTAATGCATATGGAGGGAAAGATTGGACTATTTAATTGGTTGGTTATCTTTCAAGCAAAAAGGTGCACATAATTTTCACTTATTGATTTCCCATTTAGCATCAGGTTTGTATTGCCACACAAAGGCAACCATTAAATTTGGCATTGTGACTACTACTATGGCAAAATAAGTTCCAGTGGATATGTGATTATTTCAAAAGCTGGTGGTGCCAATGAGCTGATCAGGATATTTCTGCATATAAAATTAGGAATTAGGGCATAGAACACTAATACAACTTTGTGCCTGGGAAATTCTGGCAATTAAAGTCCAGACATCTTAAAGTTGTCAAGTTTGAGAAACCTTGTCTTAGACTATAGGCACAACTGCTATAAACTAACATTATGAAGGCCAAAGATTATACATATAAATAATTTTGTCTCTTAAATCAGGAATTCAGCTACATTTTCTAAGGTCATGTGAAAGACAGTAATATAGATAAAAGTTTAATAATTCAGAATTCCCAAGACCAATGCAAACACAATGCAAAGAAGTGATATAGTGTTCTGATGAAGTTCAGTTTCAACAAACCTAATTTTGGATCTTTATCGCAACACTCATTACAATTAGTGAACTTTAGTTGGAAGTGAAATATAACAAATTATTGAGCATTCAATAAGGTTATCAGTGAAGGTTGCAAGGAGGGATAATTAAAAACAGTATACATTTAGATTGGCAAAACAAAATAACATAACATACACTGAAATAAATCTGCTAATAAATTGTAACTCCTCTATATTGTATATCCAGACAGAAACTTTCTTTTCTTTTTTTCTTTTCTTTCTTTTTTTCTTTCATAAACCTTTCATGCCTCATTTAAAAACATATCTTAATAGAAGAATTTTGAATACACTCTGGAGAAGAGGTGATTTCAATAAAATATTTTAATGAAAAGCCTGCAGAAAACTCATAATTCACCAAGTCTCTTTGCTGTAATCATGTACATTCATTTATTTATGCAATATGAAAAAAACCCTTTAGTGATTAAGTTTGACGCTGTACACAAAAATGAATTGACAATGTTGCAGGATTTCTACCAGTGAATGGTGTACTTTTTTTGTCTTTTCTTTTAAGGAAATCATATTCACATGATCGCCCTGCACGACATCACAAATCTCCCATCTCTGTTTGCTGGCCTTATATGCATGAATAATTTT